CCATGAGACGGCGTATCATCTCTAGTCAACAACTCTCTGTGCTTCTGATCTGTAACGTCGACAGGAAGTGACCGCCATGAGACGGCGTATCATCTCTAGTCAACGACTCTCTGTGCTTCTGATCTGTGACGTGGACAGGAAGTGACCACCATGAGACGGCGTATCATCTCTAGTCAACAACTCTCTGTGCTTCTGATCTGTATTAATCATTTTGACTTGACCAGCGGACTTCACTACAAGCTGATTGGCTGTTAAAACAGGTGACGTGCTTTAAAACCAGCCGCCGGCCATTTGATCAGCTGAGTGTCAGGTGACGCCATCAGCAGCTCAGTCACAGAGATCAACCTTCAACCCAACAGTCAAACCAAAGAATCTGTTTCAGGTTTGGTCTAATTAAAGGTCTCAGTCTGAGCGCTGATACAAGCCATGGTTGTTGTAGACAAACAAATCTGTATGTGCATTAAATTAAATGATAATATACTTTATAACCTAATTTTACTGACTTTATTTGGATTCAAAAAAGGTCATTTTGGTGTAACAGCACATGTACATTCAGGACAGGTCATATCTGATGGTTACATGTGAAAGAACATCCTCAAAGGGTGTCTGGGGTTGTTTGGAGAGGCCCTGCCTGTCGCCTTCCCTTCCACACTCAGCACACAAAAATGATAGCTGTGTTAAAATGACTGCCAAATATTTTCTGCTCACACCCAAACTGCCTCTTAATGTCAACGTCTGGGGCTGAACCTCAGTCCCAGTCTGCCGCTGGACAGAATGAGTCCAGGATCAAACCTCTTCATCTTCCTCTGCCGACATGTCTTGTATTTCCAGCATTAACAGGTGTGTCACACAGAGAGCACGTGTACTCGTCTGCATCCTGCACAAGGTCGGTCGCAAACATTCATTATTGTCCAATCCATATCTTTTAATAGCGTCATTGTCATCAGTGAATAACGTCTCTCCTCCTACAGAATGAGCAGTGACGTCTCTGTGTGAGACAGGTTAGGAGACATGCGGACGTCTCCTTAATATCAGCACACATTCAGTGGTTTCCTGAAAAACTAGATTTCAGACTCTGAGACGCTTCATAAAGGGCAGAGGGGAGACAGGGTTATATTCAGTGATGCTCTGCTGCAGCCGCTCTCCGCCCTTTTACTCTTCACTGTTTATAATTACTGATACAACAAAAAAAGATGGTGTCCCAGCTGTTCCTGCGCTCTGTGACCTTCAGCAGAGTGACGCAGTTGAGATGAGGATCAGCACCTCTGAGTCAGAGGCCAAGGCTCTGTTCCAGACACAAGATGGATGGCTTTATCTGTCCGCTGCGAGAGGACGAGTTCAGTGTCTCATTGATGTGGAAAGAGACAGTGAGACGGACTGCTGGTGAGACTTCAGCTGCAGTCACACAGGAAGTCAGACTGACGTCCTCTGTATGTGAGAGGCTGCTGCTGCTGTTTGGGAAACGAGTCAGAAATATTTTTCACTCATTTAGCGGACGGATGGTCAGAAGAGTTTTCAGGGATTCTGAAAATATAAAATGTTTTTTAAGTGCTAACGTACTAACTCATTCCTGTACCACTCTACTGGACCCCAAAAGACTTTTACCTATTGACTTACATTGTGACAGAGGCGCATGTAAATCAGTCACAAACCCAGACAAAAGACCCAATTCATGACACGAGATTTCATCCTTTGGGTCTGATGACATTTTGAAAGTCTGGAAGTGCCACACCATGAAATCTTTTTATCCCCATTCAGGTTAGCGTAGAGCAAACAGGAAGTTAACTGCTTGGCCAGCAGAAGCCTGTAGTGCGCATGCTTTATGGGCCCAACCATGCAGATCTGGGTAATTCTATACCCAGAACTTTTAACACAGGTATGAACGGGGCCCTGCTTCCTACACTGTATCATGTTCTCTTTAAACATCCATGGTCGCATATTTAATCAACAGTCCTTCCTCCCTGGTTGGCAATGTGTAGCGTTCTATGCAGCAGTGATATTATGTTGGTAGTGAGAGCTCAGTCCTCCTGCTCATGTTTCTTCATGGATGCACATGGATGATTGTTTGTCAGATCGGAGGTCTGGTGTTGGGAGCAGCAGAGTGGTGTGGTGGGTCAGTTGCCAGACGTCAGTTCTCACAGTCTTACACACACTGCCAATCAACCAAGGGAAGAGGGTGTGAAACAGAGAGCTGGCTGACTGACTGCAGGCCATCAGTCTATCTAATTTTTAGAGAAAAGTTTTCAGGGTGAGGGTTATTGGACAAAAGGGCTTGTGGTCCAATGCAACATTTTTCAGATTATTGGGGATTCTGAATAATGCGCCATTGGCACCAGTTCATGCCCACTTTCTCCTGACCCCCACAACTGCGTTTCAAAGATACGCTGGGAGGAAAACTTCACACTGGTGTTCTTATTCAGGCTGTTCTCATAAACTGCTCCTACATTTTCCTACAAAGAGTAATGCACCCAAATTTGTACATATTCCACATATTCATGAGCCAGTAATTCATGAAAAACCCCAAATTTTGGAAGGCTGTGATCACGTGACTAGTGTGCTGACGGAAGTAAAGAAGGAAGCAGTCGTTAGCGGTCCAGTAAGGAGGAAGGTTGGGGTGGTGGATGGGTCACAAAACACATGACTTTCCCCCAGAGACCAGTGTTCAGAACCTTGCAAACTTCAAGGCTGCTGTCAGCCCTAGAGTGGTCTCCTCTGGTCTGAATCAGGGACTCATGTTGTTCCAAAGTTGTATAATTGCCTAGAGTTGGTTGGTGTTCTCACGGCAGCGTTTACAAGAGGACCTGGGGCCTCATGTACAAAGACTTGCGTGGATTTCCTACTGAAACATGGCGTACGCTTAAATCCAGAAAACGTCGTACACACAAAAACATCCAGATGTATGAATCTGTGTGTACACATGAATCCAAGCCCATTTCCTTTGTACATCCCAATCAACGTGGAATTGAGCACACGTTGGAGTACCCGACCCCTCCCTGTCCACGCCCCCATTTAAATATGCAAATCATATTTAAATGAGCCATGCACCTGAGATTCCCCTCTCTGCACGATCAGAAAACTAAAACAAAAGAATGAGTAAGACGGGAAAAAAGAAAAATTTCACAGAATGTGAAGTGGAGACGCTACTCACTGAAGTGGAGGCACACAAAAATGTACTTTTTGGCACACTGTCCTCCGGCATCAATACTAAACGTATGTAGAGTGAGTGGGAGAGTGTGTGTGAGCCTGTCAATACTGTGGGGTCAGATATGAAGCTATGAATCGTGCGTTGAACCAGGCCACCTCGCCACAATGTTGGTTAATTGCATTTGCGCATCACATATGATCTGTACACTGATCGAATGAAAATGCTTCCTGTTGACAAACAAATTCATCCTGCGATGGCGCTTTGTGTGTGCAGTCGATAGCTCCGGTAACATTAGCAAAACCGGCTCTCGCTCTCAAATTGTGCTTTAATGTTGGCCTGTTCAGCTGCATATGGGAATTTGATATACCTGGCTGACATGCGGATAATTCCCACACAGCTGGCATGACTCGGCTCAGGGTCGACTGGCACAGTCCCGATCGGTCGGCCAGCTCCCTCTGGAATGCCCTGGAGCTAGGAGCCCCAGTGGGGTCAACCTAAAGCGGCTGATGAGCCAGTTGTTATCATGTGCCAGTGCCATCTGTCTCTGAACACACGCTCTCTTTGTATTGCACCATTTACAATGTCTTCATACTGCTAAAGCAGCCGTTGTCGTTAACGCTATTTTCTGCACCACTTTAATATCCACTCATCTAATTGCAAACACGTGGGTGTGTTAATTGTTCATCAGTGTTAATTGTTAATGTATCTCTGATGTGCACATCACTCTGAGGACTGACTGTTTTCACATTTATTTATTATAACAGTTTCCCAGCATCATCTCTAAGTGTCACCAAAGGATCAACAGCTGTAGAAACGTGCGTACGCCAGCCATGAAGTTGGCGTGAGGCAGCGCACATTTCCACGGTCATTTCACTCTTGATACATCTAAACTTTGCTGTGGAAAAGGACGTACGCCACGAGAAAGCTGCTCTTGACTGGTCAGAATTTCCATGTGGGAAAAATCCAGGAAGTAAAGCAAACGTTGAAGAAGAGTACACTTGCAAGATAAATGTGACACTTTCTAATGTCACAATGGAGGGACAACTACGCAGGTTGATTTTAGCGCTGCTCATCGTGGACTATATTGCTGTCATTGTTCATTTTAGTCAAANTGAGGTGTTTTTGACACATCGTGTTCAAAAGAATGGGACCAACAACCTGAAATCATACTATCTCCGGCCACAGCTATCACAGGCACGGAGGCATGAAGAGACATCAAAGAATTTGCGGGGGGGGGGGGGGGGGGGGGGGGGGGGGGGGGGGGGGGGGGGGGGGGGGGGGGGGGGGGGGGGCGTCGACACATTTGGAGAAATACGTCAAACAGGAAGTCTCGTTGGTTCCTACCTGTGGTACCGTGAGACATTAAAGTGTGGCCGTCTGTCATCTCTGCTGTTGGAGTCAGACGTGTTGTAACTCAGCCGATGAGTAGCAAGACCTCTCATTGGCTCCTGCTCGGACTCCTCCATCCCCTCGTTACTGTTTTAAACCAATCACAACAGATTAGTCACAGCGAACCAGAGCCTAACGTTGCTATGGAGTCAGTGAGTTAACTGTGAGCTAAAACATAGCTTTTAGCCTATATCTGTTTACATTTTGTCAAACAGTCTCCATTACAGTATGCCGAATTATCCATTAGCAGCTCCTGTCTGCAGTGGACCCACTGATGTACAGACGACTGTCACTGGATTACTGTGACACTGAAGAAAACTTTAAAACATAAAATTCTCAGGCAGGTTCTGAACTATCTTTTCTATGACTCCTCAGTGAATTTATAATATAAGAGATAATATTCTCATGAAGTGAAATTCTCATAAATCTGCAAACCACACATAACCATAAATAAAATACAACACTATGAAAGATCTTTTTAAAGATAACGTGATCACCTCCTCTTCGGCCCACATCGCAGGTCGTCCAGATAGTTCTGTCTCTCTACAGCGTGGCCCCGCGACGAGTTGAACACTGACAACAAAAGAACATTTAAGATGTTTCACTTTAATTCAGAAATGAGTCAAACACAGATTAAAACCAGACGACTGTGCGTCAGCACTCACACTCCACAGCTTCTTTAGGATCCATCCCATCAACATCTATCAGATACCTGCAGGTCAGACACAGCTGTTAAACACTGATCACACCAACACTTCATGTATGTGTGATTCACACTGAACACACCTGCAGATCAGGTAGCCGGTGCGGTTCAGACCGTGGGTGCAGTGGACGCCGATCAGCTTGTCTGTAATGCAAGGGACGGTTTATTTGTGACTAAAATCAGAACACAGTAGAATATAGTAGCACTTTACCCAGAGGAACAACCTGTTAAATCAGTGAGTCCCAACCAGGGGTACTTATACCCTGGGGGGTACTTCTACTCGCAGTACTGCAGCACAAAAATCCCCTCCGGCATAAAAAGCATTTTCCCTGTAGACGACCATAATGAAAGAAACGTCTGTAAATCTGTAAACCTCCAACTGTAAACATGGTCAATATGACTCTTTTTATTAACGTTTGGGCCATGGTAGTTTTTATTTGTAAAACTTCCCTCAAGTCGAGAAAAGTGACATAAAAATCTGTGATGTCATCACAATGTTGAGTCTATGAACCAAACGGGTGAAACACTGCTCAGCATATTCAGTGGGTATCATGCCGTGGAGGTAAACCTGGAAGCTCGGAAACTTTTTTGGTGTTGGTGAGCAACTCCACTGGACTGAATAGGCGCCATCTTGGCATTCGATATTATTAAAATCTGTGGCACTTATGCAGGTAATGGGGGCTGCATGGACACACTGTGCTAAAGCATAACTGTTTGAGTTTAAAAAAACAAAACAAAAAACCCAGATATTGCGCTCCAGCTTGAACTCAACGTGCTGCAACTGAGAGTACGTGAAAAATAGGAAGCAAGCAGAGAAGTCTCAACAGCAAACTAAAAGTAATGTGAAAATGTCTAAAATGTAGCTAAAAATAATTTATATAGAGTACACATAATTAGCTAAATAAGTAATGGCTATGTAGCTTAAACTGCTAGCTAAAACTAATAGTTATGTAGCTTAAATAGTTCGTTTACTATAAAGTACTGATTTTGTTAGCTTATTAAAAGTAATGGTTGCGTAGCTTACATTTTTAGCTAACTAAAAGTAACTGTTATTTAGCTTAAATTGTTAGGCTACTAAAAGTAATGATTATGTGGCTTCGGTAGTAAGCGAACTAAAATGAATGGTCATGTAGCTTTGATATGTAGCTTAAATCGTTAGCTAACTGACAGTAATAGATATGTGGCTTAAACTGCTAGCTAAAACTAATGGTTATGTAGCTTAAGTAGTTCGCTTACTAAAAAGTACTGATTATGTAGCTTAAATTGTTAGCTAATTAAAAGCACTGAAGTGGCTTCAGTAGTAAGCGAACTAAAACGAATGGTTATGTAGCTTTGATATGTAGCTTAAATCATTAGCTAACTGACAGTAATGGATATGGAGCTTAAATCATTACATTGTAAGCTAACTAACAGTAATGGATATGGAGCCTAAATCGTTAGCTAACTAACAGTAATGGATATGGAGCTTAAATCGTTACATCGTTAGCTAACTAACAGTAATGGATATGGAGTCTAAATCGTTAGCTAACTGACAGTAATGGATATGTGGCTTAAATCGTTAGCTAACTAACAGTAATGGATATGTAGCTTAAATCATTAAATTGTTAGCTAACTGACAGTAACGGATATGGAGCCTAAATCGTTAGCTAACTGACAGTAATGGATATGGAGCTTAAATCATTAAATCGTTAGCTAACTGACAGTAATGGATATGGAGCTTAAATCGTTAGCTAACTAAAAGTTAATGTTATGTAGCTTCCTGACATGTTACACACTAAATAACAGTAATGATCACTCGTCAGCAGCATCTCTCACCATTCTCTGCGTTATCTCGTAGAAACCTGCGTACAGCACGTTTGAAGCTGAGGATGGTGTCGTCACTGGGAACCTCGTGACCGGCTGTGAAGATCTTCACAAACAGCAGTGAGTCTGGGACGTCCTGCGCACGGGAAAACAATAAATATTCATCACTTTAAACTGAAAAAGAAGAAGCGCTGATCCAGTCCTGGGCGTGTGGTCGTTTACCTCTAGTTTGTAGTAACGTGTGGTGAAGGTCAGGTCGATGATCAAACCAAGCTCTTGATTTTCTTTGTTCAGAGCGTCCAGCAGCTCCCACGGACCAAACGCATCCGAACATGGCAGCTGACGGTTCAGAGACTAACAGATAAAACACAGATTTTCATAAGCGGTCACAGTCTCACTGCTCGCTCCCAAAATCTCTGCCAAATTCTGTGATACATAAACTTCAGCTTTAAAGAGAAACTCTGGTATCTTCTTAGTCTTGTTACACACCACTACAACATACCAGCTGTCTCCGTCCAAGCACTTGAACACTGTTTAAAATTTAGTTTGCACCAAGTTTGAGAGAGAGACACTGCATGATATTAAATAGAAGTAACCACCGTGACATTTTCACGGCCTCCATGCTACTTTCCACTGTTTGCTAACCTGTCCGTGACATCCAACGTGACACACCAGAAAACACAAACTGCTGCAGAAGATGGGAAAGCTGTTGTTGTTTTAATGTTTTAACGTATTTAAAAAACCTCCTTTATCTCCTGACCTGTTTCAGAGGCACTTTGAAGGCGATGAAACGAGTCCCGTGAAGTCTTTTACCGACCGCTTTGTAATCCAGCCACCTGTCAATAAGAAACAACATCAGTGTCACGGTCAGTATGTTTACATGACATCAGAGAAAAATCTGTTTACTGCGTCAGTCCGAATCAAACCGGACTTTTAAAATACACGTAAACATGTCCGTCTGACTGAAATCGTACTGAAGCTGTTTTCATTAATAATTATAATTCTGTAACACTGAAACTGTGATATTTTCTGAGACAGTGAAAATCTCCTACAGTTTCAACCCAAATTCTGACCGCTTGTTTTCCACCGATGGACCCTGATGAGGACTGTTGGTCCCCTAGCAACAGTCTTAATCGGGGGGCAGCTCTAATTTTCCTCTCAGGTACTTCCTCCACCTCTGACGTCAGCTGATCACTAAGTGGTAAAGGCAGAGTAATGTCCTGAACTCTTTTATCTTGAAGTCAGAAAAGTTTAAATGTTACTGATCAGTGAGAATCATTATCAGTATCAGCTGATCTCTGGTTTCTGTTGTCTTTAACACATTGTCATTATTCATGAAGCAACAACACAGACCTGACGTCATCATCATGATCTGCTCCCACTGATGAACCAGTCTGAACTGGTTTCACTCAAGTGGAGCAATAATATCAAATCACACCAGATTTGCTGTGATTTGTTTGTTTGTTTGTTTCTTCTGTTTTGCTTGTTAATATGTTCTTGTCTTGTGTCTGTGTCATTCATTACTTTGGGCTGCGTGTTTGTATGAGAGGTGCTGTACAGATAAAGTTATTATATTTACAATAAAATATAGGACGTTATTTGGTGCCACGTCACTTCCTGTTCCGTGTTAATGGTACTGAGATGTTTGTAGTTTGAATCCAGGACTGACTGAAGGTCTCTGAGCTGTAGTTTCGTCCCCTCAGTAAACACACTGAGTCCTGTGTGTTCATCATAAAGAACCGGACAGTAACTCATCACGTGACTGTTAAATGTGGTGCTCACCTGTCCGGTATTCCCCTCTTCATCGTCCCACTGTGTCTCTGTCTTCTGTGATTTAATCAACCTCACTGTGTGAATCTAAAGATAAAAACACGTCACGTCCCCACGTGCCTCTACAAGCGGAGACACACACACACACACACACACACAGTCCGTTTAAAACTCCGTATTTCCGGTAACACCAGCTGAAGCTCCTCCCACCGTCTGACTGCAGGTAAACATCCACCTGAGCTCATGTGAACCTCCTGTGAACACCAGCATCCATCTTATAACTCTCCTCAGCCTCCTGCCTGCTCCCGACACAAACTGAAAACAGATCCCGCTCCGGTCGCGCCTAGATGACGTCACTTCTTCCGCCTCTTCCTTCTTCTTCGTTGGTGTTTTCCGGCAGTTTGCATCCTTCACGGTGCAGTGCTGCCACCTTCTGGTTTTATCCGACCACTGCTGCTCCTGTGATCTGCTCCAGGCCTCAGGTGAGTCCCTCACACACCTGGACATCACCTACACACCTGGACATCACCTTGATTTAAACATGATTTAACATTTATTTAGAAATGATTGATTTTAACCTTTTGAAATCAGGAAATGACCCAAAAAATAGCAAGAAATTAGTAAAAGAGAGGGAAATAATAGATTTAGAAAACTATTTAAAAAAAACTGGGGGGAAAAAAACCAACTTGAGAAAAAAAATATTTATAATCATTATTATTATTATTATCATGAAATTTTTGCATTAAATTACATATTTATTGTATTTCTTTTTCCATTGTCTTCCCCTGTTTCCTATGACATTGATAAGTCTCGTGAGAGACAAAATTTGGACCCCACATTACCTGAGGGCCACTGGCCACGTTGTCCTAGAGGAGACAGATTTTTTTAAAATGTTTGATTTAATAGAAATGATTGATTTTTAACCCTCTGGAACCTGACAGCAACCCAGCTTGGTTTCTTTCATGACATGGGAAGAAGGCAGCGAGCAATGGAAGAAGAAATGACCCAGAAAATTAGCAAGAAGTTAGAAAATAAATAAATACTATAAAAATTAATTTAGAAAATGATTTAAATTGTTCCATTATTAAAATTTAATTATTTATAATTATTATATTTTTTACATTTTAAGAACATGTTACGGAATTATTTTGATTTTTAAGGACCCATTCTGGGACATCTCCTTCTTTGTTTGTTTTTAACTTGATTTCTTTTTTATTTTGATTTTTTTTAAATGACAATTATCATTATACACTGAGAGACACAGTGGAGCGTTCAGCCTCAGCAGAATAAATGCCTTACATGTTAACATCCAGTAGGTGGCAGTGAAGAGCAGTAAAGTGACCAAACAGCTGGAGAAACACACTGACACACAGGAAGCGGTCATCACTGAGCATGTCTGACTGAAATATGTTCGGTCTCTTGAATGTATATTTAACACCTTGCACGAACTGAACAGATTCAAGTCTTTTATTTAAGTGTCACTTATCTTTAACATGTCAAACATAAAGTGTCGTCACGCACACCCGACACAAACTGAAAGACGTTAAACAGAAACTCAGCGTCTACGTTCATCAGACATGGAAAACCAATCAGGGAGCAAAAGCAAAACTCAGCGTCTGACAGAGTGACAGTGAGAGTACGAGAAGACGAGAGAGAGGAAAACAGACTGATGCTGATCGTCAGTGTTATATTGACAGAACAACGAGATGATCAAGTGAACATGATGTTGAAGAACATTCACAAGACAGTGGAAAGTAGAGATGTGCATCATATTCAGTAGTGATGCACCTGATGAATGAATGAATGAATGCTGCTGTCAGCGTGCTTTGTTTCAGCTCTCCACCCTGCAGAAGCTCTAGCCTGGAAATCCAGACCCAAATCTAGAAAGATTTAGGGTCTGGCTATGAGTAATGCAAATGGCCCAACTCGAGGGGCGGCACCAAGCATGCATTTGAAAATATCACTGCATGCAATTGGATAACGCTACGACCAATCAGAACAATACACAGGCTGACGTATCCAGAGCTTAGCTACCAGTGGAGCTAACTGGTAGATTAGACTCTTGCCGTATCCGGTCAGCAAAACAGCAAAAATGTCCTTCTTGCAAAGGAAAGATTCGAGCACCGTCTTCTGTTCCTCTTTTAGAGAAAAAGCCAAGTCTAACTCGTTCATTGTAGCGGCCAAAGCCGTTTCAAACAACTGGTGTTCATCCGTAGCCATCTTGCAATGTTTACTGACTGATTCTGGACTTCGTTGACGCAGCGCTGTCGTCATCTGTTTAGCTCGCCTCTGGCCCGCCTATATCAGATACACCGATGTGATTGGTGCAGCTCAGCTTCAACGGCATGGGTAATGAGCATCATTACTGATTGACAGAGTGACTCGCTGAGCAAATTCAAATTGTGCTCTCGCGAGAACTCTGGATTTCCAGGGTACAGAAGGTCGGTACACATCACACAACACACATCACAACATCTGACAGAGCACAATGACATTTCAGAAAATACAGCGAGGTTTTAGAAAACTCATTTCACAAAACATGACTTTTCAAAAAACATATTACACAAAACACAACATTTGATACAGCATGACACACTTTTACAAAACACAGATATGTCACAAAATACAAAATTTCAGAAGACACAACATTTACCAAAACACGGAGACATTTCAGGAAACACGGAGACACTGGATTTGAATGAAAGCGCCCGGTCTCCACAGACAGAGGAAGGATACGACATCTCATCAGACACAGTCACACTCTGAGCTGTCATCAGCTTTGATTTACACAAAATAAATTCTGACCATCACGTTTATAATTTTCAAACAGTGTTGTTTTAATGTGACTAATATGTCTCTGTCTCTTACTCTGCTCATGTTCACACTGTGTCGTACGTCGTAGCATAAGCTGCGTACATTATAAATGTTGTACACACTCAGCACATTAAACATATTCTAGATTTTTAAATGTTATAAATATTTTGAGTTTATATTTTTACAGACTTCCTCCTCGTACTTCTCACTTCTATTTCCACATCAGAGCGAAGTGACGAACCACAGTTTCCTCTCGTGGACTCATAAACGATTTCTGCCTCTGATTTGCATATTGAAGAGGACCGGCTGACTGTGGGCCTTTAATGTAAATGTTGTTAAGTCCTCTACATGCTGCAGCATCGGGCACACACATACTGTGACGTGTCACAGAATCTCTCTGAGGATCAGTCAAATATTTCTGATCTCTGAACGCAGCACATGATGTAACCTGTTTGTTCCTGCCACACTGACTGATGGGTCTGATTGTCAACGTGATCTAAATGAGATTTGACAGAAGAACCCAGACGTGGAAATTTACTGATGACTGTTTTTCTTCTGAGTGTAACCTGTGTGACCTGATGTGTCACTCTGTGTCTCCTGACAGGTTTATGGTTGGAGCTTTATGTATCTCTGTGTGTTTCCACCTGAGAGTCCCGTGGCGCCGAGGGTAGAAACACAACTGTTAAGGAAACACATTTCACAGTATGTGGTTGTGTCCTGACCCTCAGGTTTTATCACTGAGGGATAATCAATCCTTTCAGGATGTCTCAGTCTTAAAACTCTTCAAATTTAATTTAACTGAACGTTCAGTCTCAACTTTGAGGCCGTCGGGACGAGACGTCGTTGAAGTGAACGTCGTGCTGAAACAAAGCTGCAGAGGAGCTGTCCTCCTGATCTCAGTGAGGTCACCTGCTGACCGGTTGTACAGCAGTTCCTGATTGGAGTGTGCGGCGCGAGCTGTCGACCTGCTGCAACTCTGAAATGTTCTTCTTCTCTGAAACCTGTCGTGACTGTAAAAACCCTGTTTTCATGTTCAGCACTGACTCATGTAGAAAAGCAAATACCTGAGGGAAACACGCCTGAGGAGGAGGATGTGCAGCTCAGAGTCATTTCCCAGCATGTGAAGGAAAAGGACAAAGTTACGCAACATGACTGCACCTGATGCTTGCTCATGTACCTGCCTGCAGAGGAAAGCCCATATATGGTCAAACAGGTGTGCCGGCAGATTAACAGCTGTGCAGAGCAGAGACACAAACACACAGTCTGTTAGAGACAGACATAACTCTGACAGACTTTATCGTCCACGCTGCAGACGGCTCACGCCAGAGGAAGAAGAAGAAGAAAAGAGAGGAGGAGGATGCTGCAGAGGAGAGGACTGATGGATCACAGGGGGGACAGGAACAGGGCAGTGCTGGTGTCGGTGGCACAGTTTGACCACGGGGTGCAGCTGGGGAGGAGACCAGGAGCCCAGAGGGACACCAAGAGACTCCACCGCACCCTCAGCAAGCTGGGCTTCAAGGTGGACATCCACAGCGACCTCAGCGGGGATGAGATCTATGAGCTGTTCCTCAAAGGTAACACACACACACACACACACACACACTCTGTGTAGATCCATAATGACTGACAGGAACACAGAAAAGCCGTTACTGTGCGGAGAACACACACTTTGACGTTATTTATTTAGTCAGCAGATCCTGTCAGTGACCTCTGACCCTCCTTAAAGTTCCCTGAAACCTCTTCAGCTGCTTAAAGGACCTCTAGAACCTCCATCCTGGACATCAAACCCTCTTGATTAGTACAGAACCTCCTCAATGACCATTAGAATTTCCTCAGTGGCATCTAGTACCTCTTAAAAGACCCCTGGAGTCTCCTCTCTGGCCAGCCAACCAGTAAATTAGCATAGAACCTCCTAAATGACCTCTAGAACTTCCACAATGACCATGAAAACCTCTTCAAGGAAACTGGATCCTTCTGAATGACTATCAAAACACCTAAATTACTTTAGAGCCTCAATGACCAACAGAACCTCTTCAAGGATCCAGAGAACCTGCTTTCTGGCCATTGAAACTCCTAAACTACTATAGATTACTCTAGAACCTCTTCCGTGACTTCTTTCTGGTCAACAACACTTCTAGATTACTAAAGAACCTCCGTAGGGACCACTTAAACCTCCCCAATGACCATGACCTCTTAAAGGTCCAGCAGAACCTCCCCAGTGAAGACCTGAACCTCTTTAAAGAACCCAGAACCGTCTCTAGACTGTGAGGACAGAACTGACAGGAAAGAGTGTCAGTGAGGTTTAATGTTTAATCTGTCAGCTGATGTCAGACGACACCATCATCAGTCAACATGACACTGTTAAAGGACGTTCTGTCAGCTGAGACGTTTTACAACGACGTTGTCAAACACCAAAACATCAAGTCTAAATGTGTGTGTGTGTGTGTGTGTATGTGTGTGTGTGTGTGCAGAGAGCAGGCGGCCTGTGAAGGACTGTTTCCTGGCTGTCTTGTCGTCTCACGGGGACGAGGGCTGCGTGTTCGGAGCTGATGGAAAACCTGTCCAACTGTCGCGTGTCTTCACATATTTTGACAATGAATACATGGACAAGAAGACCAAAGTCTTCCTCATACAGGTCAGACACAAACACACACACACACACACACACACACACACACACAGTGTTACTGAGGACTTTGGTTTGTTTTTTATGAAGGACATTTTCTTGGGACGTTGTCTCTGTGTCTCTGAGGACATTGTCTCTCTGCAGGCGTGTCGGGGATCTGGTCTGGATGATGGCGTGGAGGTGGACTCAGCTGCTGACATCACGGCGTGCAGTGTCTCCCAGCACCTCTCTGTTCCTATAGACACAGCTGTGATGTACGCCACGCCACCAGGTGAACACCTGTCCATCACCAGGTAGCATGTCTGTCTCGGTCCTGGCTCCTCTCTGACGTGTTGTCTCTGTGTCCGTCCTCAGGTTACGGAGCGTTCATGCACCCGCTGGGATCCGTCTTCCTGAAGACGTTCTGCTCGTTACTAAAGGACGAAGACAATCGTAACCTGGAGCTGACGCGCCTGATGACCCGCCTCTCCCACAGCGTGGCCTACAACTTCCAGGCCACAGGTGGCGCTCTGGCCAGGAAGAAAGAGATGCCATGTCTCCTGACGCGACTGACCAGAGAAGTGTTCCCCTTCGCTGAGGCGGAGAAAGGCAGCGGGGCGGCGGCGGCGGCGGCAGGTCTCTCAGCCACCTCGCTGGTGGCCACTGAGAAGGTGTGGACACGGACTCCGTCCATCAGTTAGACTGCAGCAGCAGATTGAAGGGGACTGCATTTGGACATATGGAGACAATCACCTGATGGACATTTCTGTCCTCAGAAGAGACAAACCTGTTGGTCATTTCCTCACGCTCTCTGACTTCCTGTAGGAAAGACGCCATGGAGGAAATGTCTGCTGAAGTCTTGTGGACATATTGTCCACTCCCTGGACTCTGTCATATATTTCTATGGAACACTTTATTTAACAAACTGAAGTAAACGAACAATAAAAAATTCACATCATGTTTGAACTCGAATCTTTTCAGACAAATGTTAAACGTGATGACACGTTTCTGTCTGTGAGGCCGCACAAAGAAACTCAGTGAAAACACAACATGTGAATCTGTGACTCTGCTCCGAGTGTCTCGAGTGTCGGAGTTCTGTTAGAGACAAATTAATGTCCTCACAACAGCTTTAACTTCAGTCCATTAGCATGACACAACAAGCTTTTAGCTGCAGCCCCAGTGTTAGCATGACATTACAAGTTGCAACCTGTTAGCTTTAGCCTCAGTCCAAATAGTCAAAACATATTTAAGACCTAAATTATCCAGTTAATTAGCTTATAATTACTCAGTGATCTGTAACATTAGAAATTATGGAAGGATTATTCAACTCAGGACAGGAAGTCAGAGACTGACAGACTCAGGTGAAACATGTTAGTCTGTCAGGTAAAATAAATAAAGGACTGGAACATGTATTGAGCTGTGTGTGTGTGTGTGTGTGTGTGTGTGTGTGTGTTTTATAAGAAGCATAAATTCATGACAGGAGTCAAACCTCAGCAAAAGTGAAAGTTGACGAAGGACACCTGTGACTTAAAACAAAACTGATACCAAGAGATAACAAAGGTAAGATGGCAGACACACGACACGTTCAAACACATCCAGCTGTTGCATCATCACATCCTGCTGACTGACGAGTCCAAAGGTCGGCTCCACCTGACTGCAGGTCACAGGTTTCCTTCATAAAACAAGAGAATGCTGAATTTTACCTCCTGAACCACCAGATTTCACTGAGTCCACTGAACCATAAACTCAGAGTTCATGTGCAGCTCACACTCCTGCAGCAGTCTCATGATGAACAGGGCGGCAGCGGGGTGAAGTTCACCGCACGCAGCTCTACTACAAAATAAAATCAGAACCATTTTAAATAGTATCAAACAAACAAAAAAGTCTGCATGTTGCCTCAGCCTGTTAGCATGATATCACAACCTGTTAGCTTTAGCCTCATTACATTAGCAGATATCCTGAGCTAGGACCTATTAGCCTAAACCTCAGTCCGTTAGCATGATATGAGCTGTTAGCTTAAACCTCAGTCCGTTAGCATGATATAATGAGCTGTTAGCTTTAGTTTCAGTCCTTTAGCACAATATTTGTTGTGATATTGGGCCTTATAAATAAAATTGATTGATAATATCACAACTTCATAACTTTAGTCTCAGCCACATAGCACAATCACAACCTGTACCTGTTAACGTTAGCTTAGCCTCAGCTTGTTAGTTAGGTTTAGCTTTAGCATGATATCATGAGGTGCAAACAATATCACAGGCTCCCTCAGACTGTTAGCACTATATCAGTTCTGTTAGCTTGAGCCTTAGTCTGTTAGCATGACATCACAACCTATTAGCTTTAGCCTCTGTACATAAATAGATATCCTGACCTAGGACCTGTTCGCTTTAACCTCAGCCCATTAGCATGATATTAAGACCTGGGACTGACTGGGACAGTTAGTTTCTTAGTAACAATTCTTACAGTTACACACTGATCTGGATTTTGGAACATATTTAATTCAAAATGGCGGCACTGAAGCACTCAACATGACGGATTCAGTGTCACTTCCTGGTCAGTAATGCAGGGGTGTGGCTAAACACCAGGATCCGCCCATCAACCAAATGTCTTTGTAAATTTCTATTTAAAGCAATGAAAAAAAGATCTTTTTAAGAAAATACAAATTTTTCAAGTGTAATTTACATAAATTTAAATTTTGGTGTTAAGTTTTGGGACAGCCACTTTTATTTTGAATATATTTAAGTTATTATTATATTATCTGTCTGAGGAGTTATTTTTTATTATTATAATTTTAAGCCTCAAAGTTTGAATTAATTTAGTTAGAAATAATGAACAATATTAAGTGAGATGATGAGACCACAGAGAGTGCAACAAACACTCTTAAATAAAGTCAAGTCAACTTTAATTATAGAGCACATTTAAAAACAACAATCATTGACCAAAGGGCTTTACAATGGATACAATTATGCACAACAAGAAAAATAATCAACCAAGACAGTAGAGTTCGTCTTGAGCAAATTCAGTGAAAAAGATGAATATCAAACAATATGTTCTCATGATGAATCACCAAAAGCTAAGGCAAAGAGATGGGATTTTAGCCGGGCTTTGAATGTATTTAAAGAGGGTGAGGATCTAACTGTTTGTGGCAGGCTGCTCCACAGTTTCGGACCAACAACTGAAAAAGCTCTGTCACCTCTGTTTTTAACTTTAACTTTTTTGACCAGCGTCAGATGACACCAAGATTCTTTATGTGAGATTTTAAACGTGAAGACAGAGGACCAAGAGCACTGGTAACAGAGGCAGAAGTGTCTGTAAGGCCAAAGGTGAGGACCTCAGTTTTGTCATGGTTCAGCTGGCGAAAGCTTCATGCCATCCAAGATTTTATGTCATTAATACAGAGTTATAGTGAATTAATGCTGCAAGGATCTGATGGTTTCAAAGGGAGGTATAACTGGGAATCATCTGCATAACAGTGATAAGACATATTGTATTTCCTTAGTATAGAGCCTAATGGAAGCATGTATAGTGAAAATATAATTGGGCCTAAAATGGAGCCTTGGGGAACACCATAAACACACAAATAAAATATGCTACAACATGTTAATTATCTGAGTTTGTCTCTGTGAGTGAAACATTTCACATGACCACACACAGTCATCTGATCCATCATTAATATAAAAGTATTGATTAGTTCAGGTGTACATGGTGAAGCTGAGATCAACACTGAATATGAGATTAAATTCAACTTTAATGTCACTGCAAAGAGTCCATGTACTGAGATAATGAAATATTAAACAATATATACAATACCGTAAAACTTACTAAATGCCCAGACCCTTTCACAGCCCGGTGTGGCTACACGTTTAGACAAATAAAGGCCTGTCTCAATTAGAGGCCTGGTCTGGCTGCCAGCAGTTCTTGTTGACAAAAGTTCTTTGGATGTATAAACCACATTTTTTGGCTACCTACTTGAGCTAATGTTGGTTATCTGTTTAGATCACACATGCAAGCATACATATTTAATTTTTGTCAGTATGGAGATGCTACACATCGTTAGCTTGGCTGAGTTCATTTCACTGAAACCATGAGCGCCAAGGATGACTAAATTCTTTCAGATTTACCAGCATGATGAAAAAACAAGTGGTGACTCCCTACGTTTCCTCTGTTGCTGTCATAAAGTCAGAATATGTGTCCGTTCCTGGATCACCCTGTACGTTATTCATGTTCCTCCAGTCTGTAAGTGTCCTCAGATCAAAAGGGGTTTCATAAAAATATTAAATATTGTTTAAAGAGGATAAAGTTTTGTTGTGTCGGATGCCGAAATCCTTGAGTGCCGTCAAACAAGCGTTGTGATACAACACATAATTAAAACATTCAGACTGGTTCATATAAACAGTTTGATTGTATTTCCTGATCTTTGCTGAGCAACAGTTTTGTGTGAAAGGAATTAACTTTAGGCCTGTAACAAATACAGGCCTGTTGACTTCAGTGATAAGCAAATCAAAGCTACTAATAGAAGTTTTACGGTATATAGAATTCACAGTCAGAGGGAGATATGAATATGGATAAGATATGAACATGTGCAGCAGTTACAGTCAGCAAAATAAACAGTGCAGGTAGAAGTGATGACATCACAGGTACAGTATAAACACAGTGTATAAACTTTATGTGAGATATAAAATACATACAACACCAATTCCAACCCGGTCCAAAGACGAGATATTTAATGTTCAGACTAATAAACTTCATTCTGAACTCGATGCGACACGGTGGAGCAGTGGTTAGCATTGTTGCCTCACAGCAAGACGGTTCCTGGTTTGAACCCTCTGTGGGGGAGCCCCTCTGTGAGGAGTTTGGACTGACACAAAGTGGTCTGACCAGTCCTTCAGTTCAAAGCCAGCATCTGTACAGTCATCATCATATTCAGGCTAAATATCATATTCCACCACTGAGGAGATCGTTCAGACACACAGGATCGGACACATTTACACACTTCATCTCAAACTGCAGATCTGATGAGACATTACGTCACACGGTGATTGAACGAGACCTTGTCTTGTATCTCCAACGTCTTGTGAAGTGTCTCAGTTCCACCTTCATCTGTTCAAACCCATTCACGACCTTCTGACACTGATCAGCTGACTGTCTGATGGAGTCTCTTAACTTCTGATCCTCTTCAGGAGTCGCAGTCACTCTGAAGACACTCACAATGAGCACTAACAGATCACGCATTACTGCCATCACTGCTACTGCCACACCCAAAACTTCTCCACTTGTCTCGGCCAGCTCAGACACTTCTGTAAGCATCCTCTGAAAGTCCACCATGTCTGACAGAGTGACTGCAGCCTGAACTTTCATAGATGTTGTCTTCAGCTCTTCACATGTCATCTTTATTTCTTCCAGGTTGATCTTCAGCGATTCAACAATCTCCATGAATTCTTTCCCCAGCTCTTCGACTTTATGTACACTTTTGTTCTCTTCTTTTTTTTTTGTTAAATTTGCCTCGACAACAACAGCACCACCACCAACAGCAGCAGCAGCAGCAGCAGCAGCACCACCACCAGCAGCAGCAGCTAGTCCTGCCAATAAGCTCGCCCCCCCAGTGAACGGAGCTGCAAGGATCATGAGTCCGAGTACTCCTCCTACTCCTCCAACAAAAGCTCCTGCTCTTCTCTGTTCATCTGTCTTCTCCTGCATCTTTTTCACTTCATCAACGATCTTGTGAAACTCTCCTACAATCTGTCTCATCCTTGGTTCACTGACGTCAAACGCTGAGATGAATGAAGCTGCATGTCTCATAAGATTCTTTGTTGATTTAGAAAAATTAAGGTCTAGTTCTAGACTCTTGCTTCTTCTTATTGCTGCCATTTTCAGGAGCTTCCTGCAGACTGAACGTGCTCACAGGTTTTCCTCTGCAGAATCTGTCGATCGAGTTGTTAACAGTGTTTTAGTCCACTCTGTGATCAGCTGATCAGGACGGCTCTGAGGAGACAGGAGGAGACAAGTGAGCCTTTTGGCACATTTACAGTGATGTTGATCAATGTCCCTGAAAATCAATAAATTAAAAAAAGGACAAAAACCAGTGTTAAACATTGATGAAGAAAATCAACAAAACATTTTTGGGCAACGACCTTAAATTTGATACATGTTCAAATGTTCGCTGTTTTGAATTTTCATAGACTACAAAGTTATAAATTTTACTCTTCAATCTTGAATTTACATTTATTTCTGTATTTCTGTGTCTGTATGTTAATGAGGTGGGAGGTCCTACCTCTGTTTTTATTTCAGCATTTGTTTATTCTTGTATTAATTTATTTTTGTATTCATTTGCTTATTTACATCTTTATTCATCTATATGTCTGTCATTTCTCGTCCTCCAGACGATATCTCCACAGTGGCTGAACGGATTCTTACCAGTTTATAAAGAGGCACACATGCTGAAACTCATTCCTGGTTCTTGGATGCTGACTCTGACACTCGGTTGGAGCGAAGCCATCAGTAATGCTGTTGGTTCGACCAGTAATTCCTCTGGTATGACAAGTCAAAACTTAACAACAGACAGCAGGGAGGAAACAAACACAAGTGCGTGAAAATAAAGGAGATGTTTGCGGACACTATGAAAAATGTGCACCATCACAGTTTCCCCAGTTTACAGCATCAATCACTTGAACTCCGGCTAAATCAGACTTTAACACTGGAAGGTGACGGAGTCATCTCAAACCAGAGCACACGCACCTCACCTGCTCCTCCACCCTGTTCACCCTGAGAATCAAACCTCAGCTCACAAGAACCAGCTGTCAGAAGTACAACGTTACACCAGCAGCACATTAAAGTCAGTGTAAAATCCTTTAAACAACAAAGACAACATGACACCATCTGACAACCAGCTCCACCTACCAGGTGAAAGACGCTGCAGCGTTCAGGTGTGACGCAGCGGGGTGAACATTTCCTGGAGCAGTGAGGAGCAGGGCGGAGCCAGAGGAAACGTTTGTGTCAACACCTGCTGGTTCAGCTGACTCCTTTTCTTATTTTGGTTTTGCCTTGATATGACAGTGTTAGGAGTGACAGAGAGGGGGGGGGGTGACATGCTGCAAAGGGCTGGAATCTAAATCACAGCTGCTGCAGCACAGACACTGCCTTTGTACATGGGACGCCCGCTGTACCCACTGGGCCACTGTGTGCCTTGGATGACTTGTTATGTTACAGTACAGAGGTGCAGCGGTGGAGGAAGTACTCCAATCTGTCAAATCAGTCAAACAGCTGAATAACACTGATCATCTTGTTACAGCACAATGTTCTGCTGGGAAACTCTTGGCTCCTGCATTCATGTGGATACACTTGACGCTGGAGTCTGGTACTGGATCGTTGGCAATGGATCCTTTGAGACCTGTTGGTTGTGAGGTGGGGTACTGGCACATCCCACGGATGCTCCATCAGATTGGGATCTGGGGATTTTGGAGGCCAGGTTGATGCTTCACTCTTCGTCATGTTCCCTGGGCAGTTTCTGAGCATTGTTTGTAGTGAGGCATGGTGCATGTTCTGCTGGGGGGGACTTGGTCCACAGGTGTGTCTGGATGAGTGACGTTTTTCAGGTAGCATCCACATGAATGCCAGGACCAAAGGTTTCCCAGCTGAGCATGGCGTTGTAACGAGATGGTCAGTATTGTTCATGTCATCAGTCAGTGGTGTTAATGTTCTGGCCGATCATTCTGACCATCACACATTAGCTCATAGGTTGTGATATCATGCTAACAGACTGAGGCTAAAGCTAAAAAGTTTGCTACTTAGATCTTGATATCCTGCTAAAAGGCTGCCACCAAAGCTAAGGGGTCATGGTGTTGTGCTAATGCACTGAGGCTAAGGCTAACAGCTTGTGATATCGTGCTAACAGGCTGAGGAGTCTTTTAAGAGATTTTCATGGTCATTGAGGATGTACCAGGAGACAGTTAAGAGGGTTTGGTGAATACTGAGGTCTCTTAGGAGGTCAAAGTGGTCACTGCAGAGGTTCTGGAGTAATTAAGGAGTTCTGATGGGCAGAAAGGAGGTTCTAGAAGAGGTTTTCATGGTCATTGGAGAGGTTCTAGAGTTCATTTAGATGGTTCAAGTGGTCAATGAAGAGGTTCTGTCGAAATGTAAGAACTTTGATGGACAGAGGCTCTAGAGGTCTTTTAGGAGGTTCTAGTGAATACTGAGGAAATTCTAGTGGTCTTTTAGAACATTCAAGTGGTTGCTGAACAGGTTCTGTCGTAGTTTAGGAGTTTTGATGGCCAGGAAGGAGGTTCTAGGGGACCTTTAAGAGGTTTTACTGAATACTGAGAAAATTCTTGAAGTTATTTAGGAGATTAAAGTGGTCACTGAAGAGGTTCTATGGTAATTTAGGAGTTTTGGTGGCCAGAAAGGAGGTTCTAAAAGAGGTTTTCATGGTCACTGGGGAGGTTCTAGAGAAATTTAAGAACTGTGATGGACAGACAAGAGGCTCTAGGTGTCTTTCAGGAGATTTTTATGGTCATTGGGGATGTTCTAGTGAATACCGAGGCAATTCTAGAGGATTTTTAGGGGGTTAAAGTGGTCACTGAAGAGGTTCTGGAGTAATTAAGGAGTTTTGATAGTTACTGGTGAGTATCTAGGGTCCTTGAAGAGGTTTCAATGGGCACTAGGGAGGTTCTTTACTAATTTAGGAGTTTCAGTGGGCAGAAAGGTTATAGAAGTCCTTCAAAAGGTTCTAGTGGTCATTGAGGAGGTTCTGTCATAATTTAAGAGTGTATGTTGTCATTGAAGAGTTTCAAGGGGACCTACTGGAGATTTTTGGGGTTGTTCAGGTAACTGAGGTGGATTGATGAATCTGTTGGGGGGGGGGGGTCATTTAGGGGATTCTAGAGGACCTTTAGGAGGTTCTCAGGAGCCCTTAAGTAACTGACAAGATCATTATCGACCAGGCCCAGCTGTTCTACTGAAGTCAGGGAGAACTGAACAACAGTGTCAAAATTCTGGGTTCCCTTTGAGGCGACTGAGGTCGTCTTCTTTACATCTGATCTGTGAACTCAGAGGTTTTAGAACCGCTGGGTGAAGTTCTCCTGACAGTGTGGAGGAACAGTCAAACAACTGTTAGACCTCGTGTCGGAGAATAAAACGATAAAGTTTTATAATATTGCTCCATCACAGCTTCTTTGGCAGCTTCCAGAGGAACAATTAAATCTGTTCCTTGTTACAGAACATAAAGTTCTGAGACACTGGATTTAGTCCGGCTTCACTGAGTGAAGTTGATTTCCAGAGAATTTCATCAGGAGAACCGCCCGTAAACCTCAACTGGACGAGACAGAGACAGAGACAGAGACAAATGGGGGTCGATGAGATGTTGTGTTTTACCTTTAAAGATTAGCTCGTAGATCTCGTCCTCGCTGAGGTCACTGTGTATGTCCACCCTGAAGCCCAGCTTGCTGAGGGTGCGGTGGAGTCTCTTGGCGTCTCCTCCCCAGCCTCACGGACCAGCACTGCCCTCCTCTGAAGCATCGTCCTCCTTCTCTGTCTTCTCCTTCTTCTTCTTCTTCTTCTTCCTCTGGCGTCAGACTCTAACATTCTGCCATCTGCAGCATGGATGATAAACTCTGTTAATCTGCCGTCACACCTGTCTGACCATATTTGGACGTTCCTCTGCAGGCAGGTACAAGAAGAGGGATCAGTGTTGTGTGTGTTTATGTCACAGTGTTATGTAACCTTATCTCATTTCTCAGAAACAACTCTGTACAGTCTCTCTGCCGTCCACCTCAGGTGTGTCCTCCTCAGCTGTGTCCTCCTCAGCTGTGTCCTCCTCAGGTGTGTCCTCCTCAGGTGTTTGTTTTTATGATCCAGATAAAAAGCAGTGTTATCGTGGTCATGACTAATTTCAGGGAAGAAACAAAATGATCTCATGTCCAACATTTATCAGCGCTGATCCTTCACCTTAACAACACCCTCAGTTAGGCTCACACCTGACTGTCAGCTGTGTTTATTCAAACTGATAAATGACTCAGCTGGAAACTACGGTGGCCAACATGGCCAAACTACAACAGCCCAAAATATGCCCATCTGCAGAAACGTGCTGCAGCTTCAGAGAGGCACGAGAATGTAAAACAAATAAGACTGAAATAGAGACTAAACAAATACGTTTAAGACAACACGGTCCTCCACTGCCTACACTGGTATGTTTGCTTATTGTGATGTCATTTCCTGAAGTATCTTCAAATGCTTCACATCTCTAAAATCTAAAACAACCTGAGCTCAGAGGTTATGGAAGTCAATAAACCATAATATTTAATAAAAGTATTGAAATTGTGTCATTTATTATAATAATGATGTAAAAACTGGACGTTTGTCCATCAGATTTTACAAAATAAAAACACAAAACATTTTGATCCAAAACATTAAAAATGTAGAAACATAAACAAAATATTTCTTCACACTCCGTAAGTTATTTGAACTCTTTTCATTATTTAGTTTTTGAGATACGATCATTTTTATGAGCAGAGTAGTAATAGTTTCATCAGTCGTTCCTCTGGCGCCACCGTGTGTTTTTGCGCCACACATAACGATGTCATCATGAGTGTACAACACGATGACAGGCAGTGTTGGGCAGTAACGTGTTACGGTAATAATATAACATTTTCCAGTAACGAGTAGTGTAACTAATTACTAATGAATTGTCAGTAATAATATCAGTTACCCCAAAAACCAAACAACTTGTTACAACCTAACTTTACATCTTACTTACTTACTTAGGCCTGTGACTCCAAGAAGGACCATAGGCCACTGACAATATTTCTCCACCTCGTCCTGTTCTAACTTTACATCAGCAGACACATTTTAGTGATCGCCATGCTGCACACACGCGTCATAAAGCGGTGAGCTAGTTGGAAACACTAACCTTAGCAGCTGGAAATATCTGATTTGGTCGGGAGGAAAGATGTTAACAAAACTGCTGCTGCAGGAAGTCGGACTAAAGCGGAATTTATACTTCTGTGTTGAATCGACACTGGAGCTATGGCGTAGGCGCTTCATCGACATGGTGCCTACACCGTAACCTACGCCGTGTACTGACGAGCACCTCCCCAGAAATGTAACTCCACGTCACAGTGACGGCATTCTTGGAACCCATTGGCTGTATCGCCGTCCGGTAGACAGCGATACAGCCTCTGGGGGCAGACCCCCGATTTTTTGGCATTTCGGTTTGATTTGGGCGGAGGAGGCGAATTTCCGTTTCCGACTTCGGTTGATATATAAGTAAATATGCTGAACCATTGCAATTCAGAGTTTGCAGTGACGCCAATTATGTTCCGCCTCGTTAGTTCACCGCATGGACCGTTTAACCTGGCAACAACGGCAGCCAGCTCAAACGTGATTGGTCAATATCACACGGACTACAAACCGGAAATCGGGGCTTTTCCGCTCTTCTTCCAGAGGCAAGATCTCCGGGGTTTGTGTACAGACTCTACATTCACTGAATGTAGAGTCTGTAGAGACTACAGTGACGCAGACCTCCTGTCTGTCTCTGTAAGCTGAAACCATTTCCCTCAGTGGAAACAAAGCTTTGATTTACTTTAATTTCACAGATAAGAAACAATAAATTGTGAAGACAATAAAGCCTCCACACACTGTGTGTGATTTATCCTGGCTGAAATATGAGCAGAGCAAATCTCTGCTAGCTGCTAGGCTAATTTATACAATGTAAAATGCCATAGGCTTGAGCTAATAACGTTAGCATGTTGTATTTGTGTCTCTATTAAGCCATGTTTAATGTGTGTTTAATGTGTGTTTGTGTGTGTGTGAACTCCGCTTGTGTGTTCGACCAATGCACATTAGCTGCTACCACAGCAACATCAGTTAGGTAACGTAACCATGGCATACGGGCAGAGTTAATTCATGTCAATGAATGTTTTGTTTGTCTAATAAAGTCTCGTTCTGTGTTTAGTTGAACTTGAAAATCCTCGGAGGAGTCCAATGTTCAGTTATTACGAAAATTCTGTTTTAATAGTTTTAAGCCTAGTTTTTGCTTGCAAAAATTAGCATTAGCATTATCACAGATAACCATAGCTGTGAGTGCAACCAAGCTAGTCACTAGCATTTTTATCATTAAGTATTTAGTACCGTTTATTTTAATTTTTAATGTCATTTGGACGTGTGTCACAGCTCTGCCTGCCCAGTCTGTAGCTTTCTATTCACCGCGGTTTTCCCATCTCAGTTCACCTGTTCCTCATCACTCTGTCAGTACCTCAGCCTCACAGACACTCTCTGCTAGATAGTTCTTCACCGCTCATGTAAGACTCTCCAGCACTTTATTTGGGACTGATTTCCTGTGCTTGTGTCTGACCTGCCTGCTTCCTTTGAATCCCAGTACATCAGCCTTCTGTCTCCGCCCTCAAGATCTTCTTCTGCGTCCTTGTTCCCTGTTTGCCGTCACCACCTGATGACAACACTGCAGTGCGAGTCTTCACATCTGCTTACCTCTGATCTCCAGCGGTCCAGAGACTTTCACCGTGTCACCACACTAGTGTGCGCACAATCCTGTGAGTTCTTACCTGCTGGCTTCTCGACCCTTTGCCTGGCCTTCTTCTTCTTGGTTCTTCTCTGGTTCCAGATCTTCAACCTCCATGACTACGTCTCCTGGCTGCTCCTCCATGGTGCCGTTACCTGTTACTGAACTGAACTGTGTGCGTTTGGGTTGATGTCACTGACCACTCTTCTGCTTTTTAGCGCAGTTCAGCCTGCAGGATGTCAGAGACTTTGTGGAGAAACTTTGCTGCTGTGTTGAAGAACAATCAAACGAAGAGTGTGTGCGAGGCTGGAGTTCATATACTGGCTGTGTGTTACCAGGAACAGGTGAACTGAGTTGCCTTGATGAGGTAGCGTAACTAAAACTGAGACAGGAAACCAGGCTGAATGGAAAACTACTGACAATATGTTTATTAATACTCCGACTGTTTGAGTAACGCTTCAGTTTCCTGCCTCCGATCAATGAAGTTTATTTTATCACAGCTGTGTGGTTTATGACACAACAGACACATTTCAGCTCGGTCATCACTCAGGCAGCGAATCAGAACTCAGTGAATATTTATTAACACAGAAGAAGCAGAAAAAAACCCACTCAGAACTAACAGGTGAAAAACAAACAAACCCCGGTGCCACACCTCGTTTCATTACAACAAGTCGATCGTTCATAAAAACTAGAAAAAGTGAAAGTTTGCAAAAACACAGCGTCTGACGGAGTTAGAGATGCAGTCAAATATTGACCAATTATATTCTCGCTAATATAAAACGTGCTGATAAAAAAAGTTTAAAAAAGAGAGGGCGTATTTACAGCGTTAAAAAAGAGGTACGAATCACTTTGTGTTTCTTCTGATTGGATGAAGTGAATCCTGCTCCTCACAGCTGATTGGCTCTTCTGAGAGAGAACGGCTGTGAGAGAGCTAAGGCACTGTGGGAGCTCCCTGCTGACTGGTGAGCGGAGGTAGGAGGAGGGACCAGGAAGGGCGGAGGAGGGGGTGAACACCTGGAGGGGGCGGTGTGGGGTGAGGAGGTGGGGGTGTCGCGGCTCAGAGGGAGCGCGGTCCGGTGAGGTTTGGTGGTGAGGGACAGCGGCTGCAGCTGCTCGCCATATGGCGACGTGTGTCCGCTGTAGGAGGAGTGTGTGTGCTCGGTGTGCGTCGGCGCTGGGGCGGCGGGCGAGGCCAGCGCAGTGGTGGGCGTCGCCGGGGAGTCCAGGGAGGATGCGGGGCTGGCCTGGGACAGGTGTGTGTGCGTCAGGTGGGAGATGGTGTGTGGCTGTGACAGGTGGGGGCGGGGCTGTGTGTGCGCAGTCTGTGGGGGCGGAGCGTGTGTGTGAGGCGTCTCCTCAGGTGGTACACAAGGTCTCTTCAGCTGAGGGGGGAGGTCCTCCGCAGGATCTGACCACAAACACACAAACACACTCGTCATCCTTCAGCTGTTACGTGAAATAAATAAATAAATAAACAAATAAATAAATAATAAATAAGAGGCGAAGGACCAGCAACGTTTTTCACTTCTTCATTCTTCTCAACATGAACCACATCTGAGCTGAGTTTTACTTTGTTGTTACACTTTACAAAGAACAACAAAACAAAGAAAAATAAAACAATACAAAGATAAACATTATCAATTATTTTCATTATTGATGAACTGTGAATAAAATATAATAGATAGATAATAGTGAGAAATCAAATCAAATCACCTTCAGTTTATGAAAAGACTTCAGGCCCGTCTGTACGTATCCAGATATCTTTGTGAACACATTTTCCTCTACGTTTGGGCCTCTCGTCCACGCAAACAGAGTCTGAGGTACTGTAATTTTTTAAAAACGCCCTCCAAGGCAGGATTTATACTTCTGCATTGAATCTACGGCGCAGCCTGACGTGCACCTCCCCAGAGATGTAACTCCACAGTGTCACAGTGACACAGACCTCCTGTCTGTCTCTGTGAGCTGAAACCATTTCCCTCAGTGGAAACAAAGCTTTGATTTACTTTAATTTCACAGATAAGAAACAATAAATTGTGAAGACAATAAAGCCTCCACACACTGTGTGTGATTTATCCTGGCTGAAATATGAGCAGAGGAAATCTCAACACTTTCCGTTTCTGTTTCAAAATAAAAGTCCCCTGACAACATTTCTGTGAACAGAATCCCTTCATTTGTTAATGCAGCTTTTATTGTGAAATATTTGCAGGATCATGTTGTTGATGATGCAGCAGCTGTGCGCAGCAGCAACACTGTCTGTGTGAACGTCTGGAGTCGTTTTAGTGTTCCGATAGAGTTTTTATAAAACCAGACAGACACAGATTTTTTTTTGTTTTCTTAAACGGAGGGGAAAATATCTGTTTATAAAAATATCTGGATACAAACAGACAGGACCTGGAACCAACAATGAAATTCATCCATCTAAAACCAGCAGGAGAGAACTCAACCCAGGACAACATGCATTTATTTATTGTGTGACTGACAGCAGCGTCATCTTACCTTCGAACTGACTTTCACTCTTCACCCTCTTCCTCTTCTTCTTCTTGCCCTGCAGACACACACACAGACAGACGTGTGATATGAGCCGATGATGTCAG